AGTGTTAGCATCCCTCATAAACTGCTAAAGATATACCAAGAAATTGCTCTGAATACTTGTTAAATATATATATATATGTTTGTGCATGTATATATATATATATATATTTAATACTGACAACCATACTAAGACTTAAGAGGCAAGGTTCTTCTCACTTACGTAGGACTAAACATGGCACGAGCTCGTGGCTTTTGATTGGCCTGAAGGTGTGGCAGTTGTGTCCTCGAGTGGAATCTGGCCAGAACACAGCTGGCTCCAAGCCCTCAGTTACTTCCTGCGGGCAGCCTGCGGTGCCGGCTTCGGCGGGAGCTGCTGCTGCCGAGGCAGGTCTGCTGTGACACCGTAACTGGGAGGATGCAGGTCTTAGTTTATCTTCTGGGGCTTATTTTTTTCCCTTTGTTTTACTACCTCTCATTTTCTTAATTTATTGAACATGCTTCAGATAGCAGGTTTGGGGAATTTTTTAGTCATTCTTTTTACTTGAAACCTGTGTACTTTTTTTGGATATATATATATATATATATGAACAATTTAACAAACTGTTTCTTAAACTCATTTGGTTTTGTAATTTATATAGAATTCAGGAGATGATTAAAAGGGCTATTCTCTATTCCCTATGCAAATATTTTAACTGTTGTAGTGTTTGACAAAATGGGATCTAAAACAAAAATCTGCAAAGTGGAAAAACAAATCTGTTTACAGTGGCATTGCTGACTATCCTACCATATTCAGCACTTTTAAATATTGTTATTTATGAAAATGTAGTTTAAAATGCAAGACAAAATATTTATAAATGTTTCTTTTAATAAATACCTGTTTTGTCTGAAAGTGCTACCGTGTTATGACAACTTTATTCATGTTGGTTAGCTACTTACCATTATGAATAAAATATTCAATTATTATACCGATAGAATACAAGATAAGATGTTTACAAATCCTGAGGGGGGAAAATTCAGTGAGAAAAGACTGCCTCCTTCTACTGTGAAATGCTGTTAGGAAAAAATAATTTTTCTTGCTTTTTTCTTAATTGGAATTTAAGTATGGTCCTACATATGTCTAGTATCATTTGACTAGTTATATTTACTTGGTACTAAACATATACAGCACCATATATGTATATATTTACATAGTGTAATTTCAAGTTGGTGGTGTTTGAGGCACAACACATTTAGTGCACACATCTAAGCAATGTGTAAGAGACAAAACTGCATGCATAAGTCTTGACAAATGTAGACTTGAATATTCTTAATGTTACTATTTGATGGTGACCTGCTAGTCATAAGCTATCTTTATAAGATATTTCACACAGGTAGAACTTCTTGTCAACACAGACAAGTCATCCTTTCAAGACAGGTTTAAAGCTAGATGTGCAGGCCCTAAAATATTACTTTGATTTCTAGCATAAGGTTTCAAAATCTGTATTTGGAAACTGTGACATAATTTTGAAAAATATTACACCAATCTTCAGTGTAATACTGCAATGAAATCACGTTCAAAAGTTTATTGTCTAAAATCCTCTGTTGGGAAGGATTTAAAAATTGAACATCGCAAGTAAAGTTACTTTCTTTGAGCAAATGCTCACATAAAAACATTTAAGATACATTTCATTTATCAGTTTGGGTTTCCCAAATTTTTTTTATGACAAAAATGGATGTGGTCCAAATGGACAATAAGTAACATGATCTCATTGCCTATCATACAGTTCTTTGAACACAAACTGTAAAAAAGTCAAGCTATTAAACTGATTTATTGTGCATGCAGTGTACAATACACTTTGAAAAACTGCCTAAATACACTTATTCTATAGCTTGGAATAAAATAAGTATGTATTTAACTTGTATTTCAGTTTTTCATGAGAATGTGTATAGCAAGTGCACTATAGAAAGTGAGCTATGTTTTTTGTCACTTTTGCCCGGTGTTTTAAATTGCTGTTAAATAGAACCTAATGCCAAAGAGCCAAAAATAGGCAGAATACTTCTGTACCCTCCTGTCCTTTAGGTTGAAAAGAAAGTCAGTCTATACTGTGTTACACATGTGTTCAACTTAGCTGTTTTCAGCCAGGTTTCACATAACTGAGCTTAGAGTAGTTTGGGATACCCAGAATGAAGCAAAACTCACAGACAGTATCATGAACATTCAGGAGGCACATGTGACGTGAAGGAGACTCGAGGTTTGATGGAGAAAAGACAGGCTGGTGACAGAGGTGGCTGGGCTGCAGGTTAAACAGCTATCCTGTCACAGTACCATGGAAATGTGGTAATAGCACGTCCAGGTCCACAGCCAATCCATAACTCACTTGAGTACCTGTGGAGTCCACACAGTTTATTTGCAGGACAACAGAAAGTGAACACAAACCAGACTTCAGCTAGCAATAGTTACTTTTTAAATTAAAGGCATGCTGAAGTGCTGCTAGGCTGTGGTCTAAATCGAGCAAATAAAGGACACCTACAGTCTAGCTTCAACAGCCAGGGTTTAAGATGTCATCTCATCCTAAACTTGATTCCCTAGGCAGCAAATTCAATTACAAGGAGCCAATACCTAAAACCATTCAGGGTTTTTTTTCAGTAGGAGCAGCTTGCTGGACTGACCATGCTGTGAGCCCCTAGGAACCCACAACTTCCATATGCAAGAAGTGGTTGCAAAAGCCATTTAACAGAAGCATTCCACAAGACCAATGCAAAAGCAATCAAAGCTGATACAAGAAAGTCTGTAACTTCAGGAACTCTCTGCACCACAAGGAGTAAAGTCTGTATTTCCACAATATCTGTGAGCCTGCTTCTGGCATTGTTGGCCCAGTCAACAGAGCCTGAGCCCTTATCAAATCCAACAAAGCACAACGCTAGGGTTGCACATAGACAGATAGCTGCAATGTCTCCTCCAAGTTGATCTGAATCATGTCTAACTGCCAACTTCCAAACAGGGTTTTTCTCAGGCTATAATGCTGTTATTTTTTAAGAGACCCAAGAATAGCACTGTAGCACATCCTGAGACTCAGACACAGTGACAAAAGTTCCATCCTGTTTACCAATACACTTGAGTACATTTGCAGTGACAAAGCATCATCCCTGAACGAACATGTCCTGAATACTTCTGCCAGCAGTACAAGTGATTCTGGTGGGATGAAAGAACAAAGCAATAATAGTGCCAAAATCAGTTAGTCAAAGACTTGACAGAAACAGTGGCTGCATGTTATTCTAACTTTATACCAAAAGACTGATTTTGCCCCTTCCTTTATCCATGAACTCACCCTGTGGAAGTCCACCCTTCTCATTTAAAACAGGGATATGATTCAGGTGATTCAAAGGCTGACCATCAGTCATTGACTCAGATTACTTTTTTTTTTTTCTCAAAAGCTTTATCTTAAATTACCCCTTACTCTAAGTTTCCTGAGTTTTCCATAGGTCTCTTCACAAGCTGGGCCTCCACAGCAGTTAGACACTCATTCATTGTTAGAGAACATCAAAATATTTTGTGTTAAAGCATAAATTGGATAATTTTTCCTTTATGTTTCTGGAAGAAGACTTCAAGGATCTTCATGGACAGGCAGTAGTGGGTGCAAAGGAAGCTTTTGGTGGGTGAGATTTCATAAGTGATGGCCTGGGATTTTCAACAGTGCCAGACAACTCACACAGACTGTACACTCTCCACAAAGATCTTCCAGTGTGACTTTTACTTATAAATCATTGCTACACTCTATTTTGCCAATACACCTTACCCAAAGTTGAATGCTTAAAATTATGGGAAAACATTTTTATCTAACCATTAATTTTAATGTTTAGTATTCCAAATAGCAAATTCTCACACTGGCCTTTGGATTTCCATCATACAACAAAAACTTCCATGTTTTCTTTTCTGACTACCAAAACTACTTAGGTTTTCAAGAATTGGTCTTGCTTTTATCATTAAAATAACAATTTACTAATGTTTCATAAGGAAGCAACTGTTATTCCAATATTGTAATTTAGTTGTAAGATACGATTGCCTGGTAAGACATGAATGAGGACAGAAGGAAGGGAAGGACACAACCCTGACTCCTCCAATTATTGTAATACAAAATACTGCCTAATAAAAATTGATGAATAGTTGCACATTTTTATATTAAAATATATTCTTGAAACTGCTTTGCATTTAGCCAAAATCTCATTAATGGTGTCATCTAAAACAAGGTAATATGCACTCAGTCTGCATTTCAGGAGGGATTTGCCCAGATCATCCCACGAGACGGTTCCTACTTGAAACTTACATGTAAAACACTGCACTCGGATCTGTATTGTGTAAATGGGTTGTTTTCCAGTCTCTCCGCTAATCTCTGATATGAAGGCACTTTGAATTGCCCTTTTTGGTTCCTCTGACAATTCATTTCTTTTACTCTAAATGCTTAATTTTGCACCTGCTTTCAGTACGGGGACTTTCTTCCACAATATTTGCACGGTCCTCCCCAGCGTACTTTAATTCTGAAGATTTCTTCTGGAGGGAGAAGAATAACCCGGATATCCAAAGCCCCAGCTCACACTCCCCACCAACTTCTTTTACCTATGCAGACTTTAAACCGCCCCGGTAGCAACCTCAGTACCCCCGAGGCTCTTGCTCAGAAGTCCTGCCATAGGCTTGGGGTACTGAGGATTTGGTGGGGTTTGAGGCTTTTTTGATTCCTTTTTTTTGGTTCAGACTGACTTACACCGCCCTCCGGAGCCGGCAGAGGGCGCTCGGGGCACCCGGCCATAGGCTTGGGGTACTGAGGATTTGGTGGGGTTTGAGGCTTTTTTGATTCCTCTTTTTGGTTCAGACTGACTTACGCCGCCCTCCGGGGCCGGCAGAGGGCGCTCGGGGCGCCCGGTCGGGGCCATGAGGCGGAGCCCCGCCCCGTCAGCTCTGGCCAATCAGAGCCCGCCTGCCCCACCGCGGGACAGCCCGAGCCGAGGGAAGCCGAACCCCTTCGGCCATTTCCGCCACCGCAGACCCGATGATTTCCGACTGCGCCCAAAGCCAGCGCCGAGCCTCTTCGGCAACTTCCGGAAACCCGGAAGGGAGGCTGGCAAGCGCGTTCGGGCGTCTCCGGAAGGGCAGTGACACCCGGGCGGCAGGAGGGCGGCCGCGCTCCGGCCCCAGCTAGCCATGCGGCTGCTCTCGCGGGCCCTCCGCGCGGCGCAAGGCTACCGGAGCCTCCGGGCAGCGCCGGTGGGACGGGCGCTGGCGCTGGCGGCGCGGCGCGGGCTGAGCCGCGTGCGGCGGCTGCGCGACAAGGAGCGGGAGCTGCGCGACACGCGGGAGCTGGCGCAAGGTGCGGCGCGGGGCGCGGCGTCACCGGGGGGCACCGCCGAGGGGGCGGGCGCAGGGCGGAGTCACGTTGGCATGCGCTGACGCCATTGGGCGAGCGGGCACCGGTGGCGGGGCGGGCGGCGGAGGGCGGGGTCCGGCGCACCTGCCGGGATGGCGGCTGCGCGCGTGTCCCCGGGCGGGGGCGTGGCGGCGACACGCGCGTGCGGCACCCGCGGGAGCACCGGGCGCCCCCCTCGGGCCTTGCGGAGGCGGAGGAGCTGCCCGAGCAGGGGGCGCGAGTACAGGGGAAGCGCTTCCGCCGGCGTGGGAAGTGCTGATGCTGGAAGCTGATTCATTTAAAACAAAGATAACTAATCGGTCATGGAAAGCTTCTGAAGTTTTGGGGGAGATTTTTTTGTTTTTAATCCATTTTTCCCTTGCTGCCAAGACAGCCCAGTGCGCCTGCCTGTCTCCGTTTTGGCAGAGAAGTCAGCACCTGAATCTGCTGTCTCCACGCCGTGATTTGTCTTTGTTGTGTGTCAGTAGCTGCACACTTTTAGTGCTGCCAAATAATGGGAAATTTTTTTTTTACCAATAATCAAACTTCGTTTTGATAGCATTTAGAAAACTAAAATGTAGAAATGGACTACTTTAGCCTTAAACATTCATAGATGATGATTCAGATTTTTGCATACAGTATTAGTCCTTTTAACAAGGAATACCAGTTTTGGAGCCACTGTGTTCTTTAAATCCTTTATGTTTTTGCCACACTGAAACACAGAAAATAGTTTTTTAGAGCCACAGAATGGCTGGCGTGGGAAGGACCTTTGGACGTCACCCAGTCCACCCTCCTGCTCAAGCAGGGTCACCCACAAGTTGCTCAGGGTTTCGCCCAGTTAGATTTTGAGTATCTCCAAGGATGGAAATTCACAACCAATCTATGCACCCTGTGCTATTATTTGACCACTGGCACAGTAATTTTTATTTTTTACAGTTGGCTTGAATTTTAGTTTTGGATGTTTTAGGAGAAATTCTTTTATTTCAGGTTTTTCTCATGTCTTATACCTGCACAGGATTAGAAAACACTTAATATGTACTTAGAACCTTCTTTATAGATCATATTAGTAATTTGATTTTCTAACAGGTTTAGGGGGAGGGAGGGGTTGTGTGGTAATATGGTTTTGGTTTGGTTTTGTTTTTTTTGGTAAAGTAAATTCTTCATGTGGTAATTTTTTAAAGGTTTTCTTAGAATGGCACTGATATACGTCTGAGGATTAACCATGCTCAAATATTTCAGATGAGAATGAAGATTTCCGGAAGCTTGCAGAAACAGAAATTGCTTCCTGTGAAGAAGAGATAGCTGAACTGAAACAACAGGTTAGATCCCCTTATAGAGCCCCTGTTTCCTTGCCATTCTTAAATTAACAAGGCCAAATTGTCTTGTGCTGGTGTTGGAACTAGCTGATATTTAAGGCCCCTTCCAACCCAAACCATTCTCGTCAAGATGTATGTGATAAGTTCTTCTTCCTCCCCGCTGTGCTAGCTATAGCTCCCAAATAGTGTCTGTTAGCTAAGGAAAATGAAAAAATCAGGTGCTATAAAGACATCCTGTAAGCAAGTGCCTGTTTGTACCTGCAAATGTTTCAATCAAAGTATCTTTTTATATAGCTGCTATAGTTTGTCTTGTCAGGGTGTATCTTTATGGATGTCCAACTCTTTAGCCCTTGGAAATGTTAAACTTACATAGTGTCACTCATCGGTGGGTTTGAAAAAATATAATACTGTGTAACTACTTCAGGCTGCTACTTTGCATAAATTTTACAGAGTATCTATGCTATTTAACAAAAAAAAAATCCTTAGGTAAACAGGCTGTTTCAACTTAATATTACTGTAGAAGCTGCTATGGTCGTATTCTTTATTCCTCCAACAACAATACAACAGTTGCTTTATTTACAAAAATATTTTTTTGTAAATATGTATGATTCTGCCAAAAGAAGTTATCATCTGTGGAAACATCACCCAGCCAATGCTAGTAAAGGACGAGGATTTAAAAGCATTTGCAAATCATCCATAATTTTGATTCAGCATGCAAAATTTTGATAATTTTTTGGTTTTGGTTTATCTTTCTTCTGCAAATCAGGCTCCTTTTTTAATAAATAAACAGATAATACATTTGTGGTGTTGTTGTTGAAGGACCATGCTCCTGAACATCCTTCTTAGCTCTGCAGCTGAGATAGAATTAAAGGTGAATCTCATTCAGTTGTGTAGCAAGAACAGGCATGTATCCTGTGGTTTATCCTCACAGTGCTCCTGATGGATTAAAAACTTCTGTGAAGCTTAGTGGCTCTCAGGAGAAGCCTGTGCAGCTCCTGTGACTCTGAACAGACAAAGAGAGCCTTACTGCAATGCAGCACCACCCCTGCACACCTTTGCCTGGCTGGAGCCTGTCCTCGGGGCAGGAGAACACAGCCTGGATCAGTTACAGACGTGTCTGGCGTTTTACACTGACTCAGGTGTGGGTAGCAGTGTCAGAGAGGAGTCTTAGCTGGGTGCTTTTGTATTCACAGATAGTGTTGCTTTTGATTCCTTCAGAAGAAACAGATGAGAGTGATCTTGTCATGGAAGTAACTGCTGGAGTTGGAGGGCAGGAAGCCATGCTGTTCACCTCGGAGATATTTGATATGTATCAACGATATGCTGCTTACAAAAAGTGGAAATTTGAAATATTAGAATACTTTCCCAGTGAACTAGGTTAGTAATGAAAAAACTGTAACTTCCTAATTCAAGTTGAAACACTCATTCATACGATATTTTAATTTTCAAAGTAAAGGAAACTAATTTGCACTATCTCAATTTTAGAAGTGGGATATTGTTTGAATTTCTGAGTAGAGTTCTCTTCAGCTTCTGTATTTGGGCATGAAACTCCATTTCAGAAAAACTATTAAAATACTAAAGTGGTACAAAGAAAATTTGTCTTTCAGTAATTTCTACATTTTAAAACTATTGGAGGACAAGTGCTTGGCAGAAGGAAATTTGGAAAATGATACAGATATGTTGGTTTAGCTTGTTTTCTAATAAAGATTATGTAAATTTATTTGGCTATGGTGTTCTACTTAGTAATCTAATGTTTTGTTGTTTATAGATTAGGTTGGTGGAGAATTGAAAAAAGTCTGGTTTTTATTATGGATCTATTGGCATAGAGGAATCAGTCTTAATAAAACAATTCTTGAAGTTTAATCTAAAACATTTTAAATTTAATTTTAATGGTATCTAATCTATAATATAAGGGAATGGGATATTTAAATATAGCTCATCTGTAACAGCTGTTAAAGTCTTTATTAGAATTTGATTTTCAAAAGTGTTATATTTGTAAACTGTTTTAATCTATTTCTTTAGTGTTTTTAGCAAGTATCTTATTTCAAGTTCATGAACATGAACTCAGGCTCCCTTCTAGAGTGGCTCACTCCCTTCTAGGGTGACTGCTAATAATTCAATTAATATACTTATTAAAAATTTTATGACACTTGAATTCCTTATTTTCTATGATCTAGATTTGTTAATACTAATAAACTTCTTAAGAGCTCATGTTCCAAGTTAACTGTTTATACAGCTTACATGGCAGTAGGGATGAGAAGCTTCATGTTAGAGGGCATCTTGTTGCTGAAGGAACAAACTCGTGTTCATCTCCACTCATCACCAAGCAAACACTTTGCCAGGGGCTAAACCAGTTCAGCCTTCAAAGCCAACAGAAATCTGTTTTGGTTTTTTAAGTAAATCACATAAACATTGTACACATTAGATGGGTGTAAACAGAAAAGAAGAAAGGTCTGGGTCTTTTTTTTTTCCCCACATACTGTGGGGAGAGGAGAGTTGCCTTTCCATTGATGCAAGACTTGGATTGGGTAAACCCTAGCAGTCTCACACACTTCACTTCAGAGCACAGTTTCAGTCACAAAGCCTGTCTCATCTTCCACCAAGGTGAATGGTTTTTCTTTCTCAGCTCTAGCAGTTTTGAGACCACCGTGCTAATTGGATCAGTCCACTGATTTGGCTGAAAATTCCTTGTTATGGAATAGTTGTAAGTCAGGTCTGACTCAGCTTACAGTCCCGTGATTAGAAGAAAAAGGGAGTTGGGCTTGGCTACCCTTTTGGTGAAAGCTCAGTCCTTGGACAAGGAACCTGCACCTTCAGAGGCCTCATTAATGCCTTAAATGGGAAATTGAACTAATATGTTAACCTAGTATAAATCTATCCATATTTTTTCTTTGAAAGGGCTAGGTTTTTTAAATGGTTATGTGTTTATTTTAAAGTGTTTTGCTAAGAGTTTCTTTATGCATCTTAATTAACATTTAGGATGTAGATCTTGGGTAAAATAAAGACAGTCCTAGCTGTTGTCAGCCTCTCGCAGGTTATTTTTTGATTTTGTGTAACCACATATTATCAAAACAGATGTTGGAGATAAATTGGAAGGTAGGGACACTACATATGGCATGGCCAGTGAAATGGATATTTGAACCCTCAGGTTCAAAATGTCTGTGCAGTGCTGAGTAAGAGTGGATGCTGGTGACACTAGGCTGTTACTTCCTACCCACATTCCACTTTTATTGATCACATGAGCAAAAGCAAGGTCCTACTTTAAAATATCAAACTCCCTTATTTCAGGAATTTGAAATCTGAATTTGAAATCTGAAGGTGAGCATGTGTGAACCAGGTGCATGTTAAATAAAGCTGCAATAAAATACAGGTTACAGTCCACTCTTAAATGACTATTGACCTACCCCATGGGATGTCACTATGCTAAAACAGCATGTTCAGGAGATTCAGCGCACATGTTGAAGCACAAACTCACATGCCGTTATTTATCCACTGCTTCTCACCCTGTAGTGGCAGGCAGAGACACAGATGTGGGACTTTTCCCCGATCTAAGATGCCACATAAAAAATGAGCGCAAACTCATACCCTTGTTCTGAGTAAATCGGATATTGGGACATTTTATATGAAAGAGGCAAACACGTAGTTATCAAGCGTTAACTACATTTAACAAGCCTACAGCTTGTCTGCCAGCGTAAAAGGTCTGTCAGAATTTCATTAGATTTGGCTGCAGTTCTTAATAAACCTGTGTTGGTAGTAGTCAGTTTGAAGCAGTATGACCTACTTACCTGTCGTGTGAACCAGTTTCTTGGTCGTCTTATTCTAAGCACTGTAGGCACACATGCCACTACAAATTTTAAAAACAGAAGGATAAAAATGATGTGAAATTGAAAGCCAGACTTATTCTTCCTGTCTTTCACAAACATGACTGTGAAACAATATATATTTTAATAAAGTTATGAGTGAACGAACATGTCCATGGAAGTGAACAACCTGGCCTGTGTTCTGGCAGATGACTTCTTCCTGCTCCACAGGGCAATTTCAGATTCCATGTTGTCTTGATTTTGCTTTTTTAAATAGCTGTTGTCTTGTTCCTATGTTTGAGTTCCTTAGTCTAAAAGATAGCTTAAACCAGTATTTCTGAGAAGTGTGTCTCTTCTTTTCCTCAGCTGTGGTTTCATATTGCGAGGCTTGAAGAGCAATACTCTTTCAAGGCCACCTGTGTCTTGAGTCATTCCCTTGGCACACCATCCACTATACTGACAGTGGGATTTGGGAATTGAGCTGCATTAAAAACAAAAATGGGTGAAATATATTAATTTATAATATTTTATATATGGGTAAAATATATTCATTCATTTATATATAAATGATACATTCATTTATAGTGCCATCACTTTTCTGATCCTTCATTTATACTGTGAACAAGGAAGATCAAGAATGTCATAAAGTAATAGAGCAACAAACTCTGTCCCAAAGCCATGATTGCTATGGGCTTGACTTCCAAGTTCCAAGCTGTCCAATGCTTGTAAGATGTTGCTGTCAAGTGGTTTTCTGGAGGTATTGGTAAGAGGTGCAGGAACCTGTGTTCTGTTTGGTCCAGAAAAAAATTATATAGGTGTATATAAAATGTATTACAAATGTATAGAAAAAATTAAATTGGACTCTACAAAAGAGAATCTGACAGCCCTTTCCTTTTTGAACTAGTGTGTGAGTAAATATGTAGTTTTAAGATTGTTCTTACATTTTTGGCATAATTTTGCGCAAGTGTTTAAATGGTAAGTTCCTCATTTTAAGAAACAAATGCCAGTGGTGTGTAAATACACTGTTTGAAGTATAACAGCATAGTTCTTAAAGGTTTACAACAGTTTTTCTTCTCTGTTTAAGGTGGCCTAAGACATGCAGTAGCCAGTATCGCAGGCGTTGAGGCTTACAAATACATGAAGTTTGAAGGAGGAGTGCATCGTGTTCAGCGGGTGCCAAAGACAGAAAAACAAGGACGCATTCACACCAGCACAATGACTGTTGCAATATTACCCCAACCCACTGAGGTAATATTTATCTTTCAGTATAACAGAACTTACCAGGAGCAGTGTTGGATACAAAGTGTTTTATGTCTCTCTTGATATTCTCACATAATGACTTTTTTAATCTTAATTTTAAATTAGGTTATAGGTGGGTTTTTTTATCACAGGGATGAAATAAAGAATTCCTGTCTTTTATCATAATCCTAATTTCAGTAAAGTCACTGAACTATGTCACTTCAACTATGTCTTGAAAATTCACTGTGACAGTCTGGCATGTTTTGTGGAAAACTGCATTTTCTGCAAAGTAACAAAAGACTGAGTCATTTTACCAGGCTCATAGATTACTTTTAGCATTTCCTCTTTCCCATTTTTGTAGTGTCCTCACTTGCCTGTTCTAAAATGTATGATGATTCAGTTTTGCTACATTTGCTTGCTTAAAAGCAAAAAAAATGCTTGTTTTTGTTTTAGTTTCCTGTTGATGTAGCAGATTGACAAAGATGTTACTCCTTCCTGAACTTTCTTGAAGTTGTCTTGCTTCTTCCTCACAGAGACTATTGCTCCACTCCAAAGCCAAAAAAGGGAATGTCTTCCATTTCATTAAAACACCATCTAATCAAGCTCAGATATTGGTTAACTCTGCTGGAAGAAAATGCACAGCTCTCAGAAGAGAGGAAAATTAGTGCTAAGCAGTGGTTATGCATTAAGTTACTATTTGGCTGATTTCTGAGGTACCATCATGATGCATTCCAGTCTGATTACTAAGATTCCTTAATATGATTATAAGAGGGTTTGAATTAGTACCCATAAGCATTCAGAAGTTTGATCTTGCATGAATGTGCCTTCTAAAATAAACTGACTGTGCATATTTGATATCTGTCTAGAAAGAAACAACATAGAATACTGTTTTTCTCTTCTTCTGTCTCCCATGACAGATGAGGCTGCAAATTAGTCCAAAAGATCTACGGATAGAAACAAAGCGAGCAAGTGGAGCTGGAGGCCAGCATGTCAATACCACAGATAGTGCTGTGCGGATAGTTCACATTCCAACAGGTGCTGCTTCATCCTTTCCTTAGTACAAGATCTGCATTCCAAAACTGCTGTCAGAATTTCGTTTGAAACAGTGGTTTAATTTTCGAACCTGGGCAACAGTAGAGCAGAGGTTTAATGTAGTTTTCACGTCTATTCATACTAGTCTAAATGCATCATCTTGAGCCCACTCCAGTTTTTAGCAGTAAAGACCACTGGCTTCACTAGGTAAGCTATAATTTTGCTATTAAACATGACACTCTAAAAGCAGTCAGATCAGTTTTTATGAAAAAATTCTGTTTAAGTTTTCAGATAATGAAAATTACACTGAAAAATGGAGTAGGTTGATATCTAATGATCTGAATTTTCTTGACTAGTCTCCAAAAGAGGGATTGTGCTATTTTTGTATTAAAACATTACTTTTAATTGCAGAGTCTACTCAGACTGCCAGAGTCTACTCAGAGTGCCAGCTCCCATTCGTCTGCTGGCTCCTTTCCCATAGATGACACACATAATTAAGAGGCCCATCCCTCTGGCTCAGGTTAGGAAACATAGCAGGGATAAGATACACCCTCAAATACTACCTGATTTTAGCTGTTGTATGGGGCCTTTTTATTGCCATTCCTAAGCCTTTTACTTCCCTTTGAGCAATTCACAACAGCCTTCTTGACTTTCATTGTATTTTAACTTTTCCTCTTCTCTACCACAAACATTCATCAGGCTTTACACAGTTTCAGGGTAATCCCAAGCCCTCTTTATCTTCATGTATCCAGATTTTTGCCACCCATTTCTTTGTGTCTGTTTAAAACATCAATCCGTTCTGCACTTACTGCATCATTCTAGTAAAGCAGAAGGCTAGCAGTAGAGAGGTTAAAATTCCGTTCACTATATGATGACAAAAGATATTCCCCAGATTAAAAACGTTTTGCATTGTCTGTATGTTTGGTTAAAGTCACAGCAAACTAAAACCAGCAATTGATCTTAGTTTTTGCTGATAACAGTTATTAGGGTGTGTTATAGAAGTCTTAAATTGCTTTTTTTTTTGCTCTTATACATAGTTAACGCATCTTAGTTTTTGCTGATAACAGTTATTAGGGTGTGTTATAGAAGCCTTAAATTGCTTTTTTTTTGCTCTTATACACAGTTAACGGGGGAGTTCATACCTCACATTAGTTCCTGACTTTTTCCTCTTCCACCTTTCCCTTTTTCATTTCTCTGATCTCTCTTCCCTTAAAATTGTCCTGTTGCTTCTTCTATTTCTTTCATCCTAAATCTTTTTATAAACCTTCACCGTGATCCAAAATGTTGTTTATAAATAAGTCTTTCAGAAAGTAATACTATGTAATCTTATAAAATCATCCTCTAATATTACCAGAGCTACTTAATAAGTCTAAATAACAACTTAGCTCGTACTATATTTCTTCTTCCTGATCCTTTTTGGGGCTTTTCATTTCTTACCTTTAATTGTATGTTTTGGGATGAGAAAGCACACCCTTCTATTATTTTAAATAAAATAGTTCCCACTTTTTTATATTCTGACCATATGCTAAGCACACACTATCTTATGTATTTTACTGTTCCTTAAATCCTGCATTTCCTGGAACTGTGGCCAAAATTTATGAGTAATGAAGCTGTCTTTCATAAGTCAGATCACATCACACATCTTTTATTTCATTTTCCATCTGCTGTCCAGGTGAAATAAATTTCCACTGAATTAAATTTGTCTTATGGCTTAAAGCACCTGTACAACTCAGCCTACACATCTCTCCCAAAATGTATCATTACTCATTAATAAACCTGGCCTTCTACATTCCCAGTCCAAATGTAACAGCCTAATATAACATAAAAAAATCTTCCAGAAATTTCAGATCTCTTTTAGTATGTGTTAATCTTAAATGCTAAATGTCACGATATTTTTGACAGGGATTGTGTCTGAATGTCAGCAAGAAAGATCCCAAATTAGAAACAAAGAGAAGGCTATGCAAATGCTATGTGCTAAACTGTACAATGCCAAACTAGAAGAAGAAACCAAAAAGAGAAACTATGCTCGAAAGATTCAAGTAAGTTTCATTTAGTTGTGATCTAATTCTGTACAAGCATATGTCTTTAGGGTAACACCTTTGTTGAACAGCAAGTAGTAAATGGAAATACAGAGTAGCAGGAACCCAGGAAGTACTTATATGAGGCAAAAAAAGTCATAGAATCACAGAATGGTTTGGGTTGGCAGGGACATTAAAAATAATCTGGCTCCAAGCCTCCTACCATGGGAAGGGATGCCTTCCACTAGGCCACTCTGGAGAACAAAATATGTGGAGTCCCCAAGCTCTCTGAACAACAGCATTACATTTTACTGCAGCAATAAAAGCCATATATTAGCCAGACTTAAAATATCAGTAGCAGGTAAATCCTAGAGATACAGTGAAACAAACTGGATTGCAGCATGAACCAGAATAGCATTAGAAAAAGATGCAGTAAAATTGTTCTTTTACATGTTTGAGAACAATTACTGCAGCTGTAGAAGTGATCTGAGTACTATGTAACTATAAAACTTTTGTATAGTCATGTGAGGAAGAGAAAACTTTTGCTTTATATGCCTAATCAATATTTCACTATTTTTTTTTAAATGATGATAAACTGATTCTTCTTGTTCTACAGGTTGGGACTAAAGGAAGATCAGAGAAGATCAGAACATACAACTTTCCACAGGACCGGATTACAGACCACAGAATAAGCAGATCGGTGCATCATGTTGAGTCTTTCATGCTAGGGGAAGAAATGCTAGATGAAATGATACAAACTGTGAGAGAATATGCTGATTATGAATCTCTAATGGAAATTATTTCAGAAAATGAAAAAAATAATTCCTCCTGAGCATTGTTCTTTCTCAGTCCATTACAACAGATGTAGACCTTGGTCTGCAAAGAAGCTTCTCAGAGCACCACTCAGAAAATTGAACTTCTTTTTAGATCATGAAAAACATCACAACTTGTTTCTTTATGAATATTAAACAGTTTTCTTACTTGCTGAGTAAAAGACTCTATTATCTTCATATAAGATGATATTGCTGTAGTAGTCCTTCTGAAAAGTTTATTTGACTGCACCAGAAGTAACAAGTTTTTAACTTCTTCTGAGAACTGATACACCACTCTCAAAAGGTATGCATGCATTAAAAAAGGAGCTATTTCTACTTCCTGTTTTCATTTAAGCTACGGCTTAACCATCACACAACAGTGTGAAGTTGCTTACTTGGGAGAACAAAAAAAAATCCTGGTTTTTTTGAGTGATTGGAAAAAAGTGATAAATAAATGATCCCACTCTATCCACATATTTATTAATCACTTACGTGTCATGGAAACAGGAGTCAAAGTATATTTCTGTCATGTTTTCAAGGCCTTCTGGCCCTTATTTATAAATACCAAACAAGTTTAAGAATATCCCTTATTCAAGGAAAAAAAAGCCATGGAAGCCAAGTGAGGAATCATAAGGATTGGTTTTGGAACAAATGTTTGTGTTCTTGAGTCAAAAATGACAGTAATTGTTACAATATTGTTGGACTGATATTTTAGTATCCAGTTGACTTCAGTGTCTCTTTTATGGTTTTAATTGAATGTCCAAGTTATTGATCTTCTAAAAGTTATGTGCTATAACCAGCACTTACTCGTTTTGTCTATTTAACAGCATTTTACAACATTTGATAACTTTATAATTTTTTTTCCTAGTCAACTGCATGGTAACTATGATTAAGTTCCAAGTCTTTTAATTTAAGGTGCATTCATTAACTTCAGATTAAGGAATGTCTGTGTGCATAAGATGAGGCATACATATTTCCTTTTGATAAACATGTGTCCTAGGTCTGTATTTACTAGCAATTTTATAACTCCAAACCGGCACATAAAAAAAAGTAAAAAGAAACATTGACTCAATTTTTTATGTAAAATAATTAGATACCTGTTGGAGCAGAAACTAGGACTGAAGTCTTCATTCTTACCAGATCAGTATGGTAAATGGAACACTGGAGAGCACTTTTGACAGTCCTACAGATGTGACTTAAAGCCAGCCTTTCTTATGCCAGTTGATGGATGGAGTTTGCTGTTCAGCTTCATATTCTTCCAAACAAATAAAGGCCATTGACCAGGTCTGCACGCTAGACTTCTGCATGAAACTAAGACACTTGTTTAGGTCTTTGTCACCCTAAACCTTCCCTGAGCTTCCAGCTTGTAGCCTGTCTGGCCAGATCCTGCCTCCCTGTTCTCATCTGGCTCTTGAACAAACACTAAATGTGTTGTTGCCTTGCAAGTGACCAGGCTGTGATCAGTGTGAGAAAAAACAGACATCATGTAGCTCTGGCAGGATGCTGACAGAGGCATTCCAAAACTGGTGTCTGACGCTGCTGTGCATAGGGGGACTTCACTGTCCTTGATCTGTCGTGTCAAGCTTTACTGTGTAAAGACTTGAAGTCCCCCACTTGCTCTGTATTAATTTTAATGCAAGGGATGTTATCTCTGCAAATGCGACCCCCTTGAGTTGTGAGCAGAGGTGGGGATCCCAGTCAGCCTAGCTCCCAGTGGTGTTCCTGCTCACTCTGCAACTGCTGGTAGCGTTGGTCACATAAAATAAATACAATTCTTTTACAGGTAGTAGCCCAGATCCACTGCCAGACTTGAATCACAGATTGGGGCACGTTGGCAGGGATAACAGTGGGTCATGCAGTCCAACATCCCTCCTTAAGCCTAGTCATCCTAAAGCACATGGCACCAGATTGCATCCGGGCAGTTCTTGAATATCCCCAGTGCGGGAAAGAATCCTTTCCCGGCAGAGGAGCTTTGCACACTCGGAGCGTGCCGAGGTGATGTGAAGACCCCAGGCGCGTCCATTTAAACAAGCAGACGCAGATGTAGCCGGGCGCCAGGCTGCGCTGAGGCGCGTGTCGGTGCCGGGACGCGGCAGCCGCGGGTTCCTGCGGGACGGAGAGCGGGAGGAAGGGGCGGGCGGGAGCGCCCGGCGCGCGGGAGCCGCGGCCGCGCCACTCGCGTCCCTCCCTGGCGGCCGAGGAGGGAAAGCGAGGGCCGGGCGAGGCCCCGCCCACCGCGCCGCGGATTGGCCCCCGCCGCCTGCCCGCCGCCCATTGGCCGCGTCCCGCTCCCCGGCGCCCCGCTATTGGCTGGCGCGGTTTTGGACACCAAATTTAAAGTTTTTAAAAAGCGCCCGGCGAAAGCGGGACTCACTCACTGCCCGCGGCGGCGCCGGCGCGGCCCTGCAGGTGAGCGCGGGGCGGGCGGCGAGCTCCGCCGGGAGCCGCTCGGGGCCGCGGGGCTCCGCAGGGCTCCGCAGGGCTCCACGGCCACGGCGCCGCTCTCGGGCCGGCTCGGGGGCAGCGGGGCTCCGCGGTCAGGGCTCTTTGGCTGGGGTGGCGGGAGCTGCTGGCGTGCGTGGCGGCGGGACCGTGCGGATGCTAGGGCGCTGCGGTGGGACCAGACGGACTGGGGACGGGGGTTCCTGGCGGCCGCCCGCTCTCACTGCTCGCCCAGCCTAGCCCCGCAGCTATCCCGCCGGCGGGACGGCTTGGGGTGGGACGGTGGCGCGTTGGCGGCCAGGGAGAGCCCCGATCCCGCCAACGAGCCGCGTGCGGGGTGGTCCCGGCTGCTGGCCGCCCTGGCGGGGCCGGGCCGGCCGGGATGCGGATCGCAGCCCCGCTCCCGCCGGCGGGCAGCGGCGGGCGGGGAAGGGCCGCGCCGCTCTGACTCCCGCCCGCCGGCCACGCCGTCGGAAGAGCATCCCCCCGGCGCGCTCCTCCCGCCCCGCCACCACCGTTTTAGGGGGAATCTTCCATTGTGGGGCAAATCCTCCATTGTGGGAAGCCCCCGAAGGCGCGGGGTGAAGTTCCCGGGGCCATGGGGCACGGCAGAGCCGGGACCCGGTCTACCTGCCCCGACCCGTGCCATCTTGAGCGCTGGGCGGGAGAAGCCTGGCAGTGCCGCGGGGCCCCGCGGCTCAGCCCGCTCCCCCGGGGGTCGGGGCAGGCCCGGGTGCACCAAAATGTGATTTGGGAACATTTTTCAAATCATCAGAATTTCAACCCAAAATCTTCTCTGGCCGTTCGCAGGGAAGGGGGGAAGGGGAGGAGGAGGCTTAGGAAGGGCTTGCATTTCTTCCCCCAGCTCACACGATACAAAGCCATACGCCTATTTGCTCCTTTCTCTCACCAAACGTAGGTACAAAGAGGGAACTTTTTCTCTAAGTCGTTCATGAAACACATTTTTCTCGTGCTTCTTTACAAAACGGCTGGAACCGCTTAAATCCTTTAAAATGCTTACTTAAATCGGGGATCTTCCATTTCCTATGCATTGCAAAGCATATATAATAAATTTGATAAATTGGAATTTATTTTTCCTTTAGATTTAACTGGGGAGAGATGACCTCCTTCTCCCCTTCAGCTCTCGCCCATCCCCCCGCAATTGTTAATATAGATAGCACCACATTTCGCGGGGGAAGGGAATGGAACAGGGCAAGAAAAGCTCAATTCTCCTAGGATATCTATCGACCTCCCACCCTCTTCAAATCATGCTTAAATCTTTATTTCACCGACCATTGTTTAAGTATGGCTGCTTCCCTTTGTATTTTACTCACACATGTAAGCACTCAAGCCTTTCCTGTGCCCCCCAGCCTCCTCCCTTCTCAAAAATGCCAGATATCTGGCTGCAGCAGCAGCCTTGCTTCTGGTCTTGGATGCAAACTTCAGGCTTCTCTGGCCTGCACAGGCCTGCGGTCACTCATGGACCCCCTGCCATTGGTGTCCCTTGCAGGGACCTCAAGTGTCTTTGACTATGTTACTACCTTTATGGTAGGAAATGGAAGCACTGGCATGTCTCATCTATGCTGGTGAAATGGTGACCAAGTAAATCACTCAATTTTCTTTCCCTAGTTATATGCAACATAAGACTAGTTTTTGGGAAGGTCTTACTTAGATTTAATCAGTGGCTGTTCAAATCCTTAGTTCCATTAGTTGTATTTTAGATATTTTAGAGGGTAAGTCAGCGTAAAATTCCTAATGCAGAAGGCAAGAATGGTAGAGTCTTTATAAGAGTAAGCATTTGTAATCTGGTTTATGCTGTGTTTTCATACTGCCCTTGTTGTTTCTTGCAGAATACAAACAACAAAATGAAATCGAACCTTAACCGCTCTTGCAAAATGAAACGTGACTTTGATTGTGCGTCTCTTCGTGCTGGGTTTGCACCATTGAAATGTGCTGTGGAGAAAACAAGACTGGAAAAATCCTGCCCCTTGAATTATGAGGAAGACTTTTGTAAAAGCTGTGCAGAAGAACATCAGAAAATACTCCTTAGTGACTCATACCATGCAGCCACCAGGAACCTAGATCTTAAAGATGGAGAAAGACCCATACATAACAAAGAAAACAGCCAAGTAACCCAGAGACTTGATGAAGGAATCTGTGAGATGGAGGCAATGGAAAGCAGTAAACTTAATGAGGACAGTGGTTATTCCTCTATGTTAAGTACTCACTATGCCGATGCAATAGAACATGAGGATAGTTTACCTCTGGCTGGGAACCTCTGTGGTACACCAAAGCATTGTCTCATGAAGAACCAAAAACAAGAACAGTTTTCAAAGAAGACGCTGTTGCCCATAATCCATTATGAAGAAGTAATTTGCTCAACTTTGAAAAAAAGTGGTAAAAGAAATCTCAAGTCTTGGGCTGCTGTAGATAGAATTGTTTCTAGGGGAAAATTTGAACTTTGTAACTTAATTGGAAAGAAAATGGGGCTGGATAGAATAGACATTCTCGCTGAACTCTTCCAAAAGAACCTGAAGCATGTACTAGCAAACATTTTAAGGCATCTCAGCGAGATGGATTTAGTAAAGTAAGTATATTGATGTCATTGTATTTCACTGGGAAAGGAAAAAACCTAATCAGATGCCTTAATGGTTTAGATATGGGTCTTTTGTGACATTTACTCAGTGTTTAGTATTATGTGTTATGTAAGCTGTGATACATATGGAGAATGTGTTTTTTCCCTAAAAGGCAAATTAAAGACAACAACTGTGAACATATTCTATGTTTACATAAAAGAAAAAGTCATTCTTGTTGTTTAATAAATCCCTTTCCTAGGAGGAAACTGATGTCTTTGTATTGTTGTTGCAGTTTTGCCAAAGTCAGCACAACATGGCAGAAGATTCTACAAGAAGATAAATGGATTTTCCAAATGTATAGCAGAGCTGTGAAAAACCTTTCTGTAAGTTTCTGCACTGAACCATCAGTGTTTTTCTGCTATTTCAGGTCTCCTCCTACACTTAAGAGATCACA